GATGAGGATGAGGATGAGAATGATGAGGATGAGGATGAGAATGATGAGGATGAGGATGAGGATGAGGATGATGATGATGAGGAGGAGGAGGATGATGAGGATGAGGATGAGGATGAGGATGACGATGAGGAGGAGGAGGAGGAGGAGGAGACTGAGGATGGGGAGGAAATTCTGAAGGATGAGGCTGGTGACGTGATGTGCACATGAAACACATGCCTGCCCATAGGCTTGGACCATCTCAAGCTTCGATGGAACAAGCAAAGAGGTCCTGAGGTGAACAACCGCCGCTCTTTTGTGCTCTTTTTCTGCAAGAGTTCGTGGACCTTACTAACCGAAAAAATGAAGGAAGACTTCCTCCAAGCGGGTGCCATGTGTCGCGCAAAGGACAGCTTGAAATGGAGGAGTCAAGCATCCACACCAGGGTACTTACTTACCAGCCCTTGACCTAAAATGGCCATGTCACGTCACCCTGCCATGCCAACCAACCCCATCCGGCCTTGGCTTTGGGCACCCGTGAATCCTCCTCGAAGAGGCTGGAGATGCCCAGGTCCCGGACGAAGGAGTTGAAGCCCGGCATGGCATCGAAGATGGACGTCTGAAGAGGCGGACCAGGCCGGAGCGGGCGGACTGGCTGGGCGCAGTCGGCGGCCAAGTCTCACATTTCTTGACCTAACAGGACCCACAAAGAGGGGTCGGTTCACAAAAATCCAACCTCCAAATGAGTTCATTAACAAACACCCTAACACTCTTTACGGTATTATATGCTGGCTTGAGACGTCGATTTAGTTGAAGTCCGGCTCTGCTGGATGACAGTGTCCTTTCTTGGGGTGGAGCCCATGGGTTCAAAGACAAGAGCTACCTTCCCGGACCTTCGCTGAAAAGAGAATCATTGGAAGTGGAGTTCACCACCTGGTAGCTATTCGGAACATGGCCATCCATCCAGGGGTCATGCCACCCACCTATACTAGCAATTCGTTCAGGGAAGGGAAGGTCGCTTTGGTCAACCATGAGCTGAGTAGTCTGCCCGCCTGACCCTCCGCCAGCGTCACCTCAGCCGCCTCGCAAACGGATGACTGGAAACCGGCACATCGAAAATGTGTTCAGTCAAACCGTGCTTTACACCAACTGTGCCAACTCATTTTCCGAGCTTCCCCCCTATTTTCAGGCTTTAAACACATCAGCACACCAAAAATGGAAAGCCGCAGGCAGGTTAAGAATTCTATGTCCTGGTCTTGATGGCATATCCCCTCCCCCAATTCAATGACCTCGAACAGCTCCAGCAAAATATCTGATCTATGTGGGCTGTGGTCGTGAGACTTGAGGTCATGCATGAAATGGTCCAGCATGGTCCAGCAATCCACCCAACATCCTGCGACTACGTTCTGGACCTAGAGGTGCTACCCAGCAAGCCCACAGTGGTACATGGCCTGAGCATGCCTAAACCTCGTAAAGTATACGTCTTATACGTCAGTAGCTAAAAGGAATGGAAAAAAAACAAAAAACTTTTAGTTGAGCTGCAACATGCTTTTAAAAAAAGAATCTTTGGTGGGTCCAACACACAAAACTGGTCAAGAATGAATGCCTGCCCCAGTGGTCCTGGCCTTTGCTTTGGCCTTGGCCTTGGCCGCCTTGGGCTTGGCATCAGCTTTGGCTTTGGCCTCTTGCTGCAGGGGCCCATTTAGCCGGTATCTCCAGGGTGAAAAAGCCCCTTTAGTAGCGTCCTTTGCTCCTAGTAGTACGGCCAGGAGCCCCTAGTAGCGTCCTTTTGATTTAGACGTTGAGAGCTTCCAAGCAATACATTTGCACTGGTTCTTACCACCAGTGCGGGACTCTAGTTTGTGTGCAACAAAGGAAGGGATGGCGGTAGTTTTCCTGGCCTATATTTCATGGGAGGGTAAACAAAACATGTATATATACGTTGGGGAAATCATCATGCCTCTTTCAGACCCAACAACATTAAAGCAATACAAACAAAACGCAAACCCGGCCTTGCTCTTGGCCTTGGCCTTGGCTGCTGCCTGCAGTTGCTCCTCTAACTTTGCATAGGCGGCCTCAAACTCTTGGATACTCACCACGCCACTCCTTAGATTTGGTTCGCGAGTTGGACGAGCGCCGCAGGCAAGCTGTGCGTGTTGCGTGAAATTCCCCGTCACACGCGGCACCGTTGATTCCTGGAACACTTGCTCAGTGTTAACCAGCAAGTGTACATTTGGATTTGATGAAAGTTGATCCCAGCACACGCACATAATGATTCTTTGGTATCCAGGTGTATCCAGGTGATGCAAACGAGAACCCCCAAAGTTCCTCACACACTGCCATGTTCTGAGGAACTTCTGTGTTAAACAGCTCCGCTCTACTTTTTGGCATCTTTGGCATCAACTCAGCCTCAGCGCACCTTGGGTTGTCCTGGTGTGATTGGGTGCAGTGCCATTTAAAAACAAGAAGCTCAATGGACTACATACATGGCACGGTTTTCTCCTAAAAAATGGGAAGCTGCCCAATTAATTCTATGAAAATCATAATGCATAATGCAACGAATCGTTTAATTTGATACTGTTTTGTGGTCCCCCATTCTCAACACACACCACAACCCTTCTTGCCAAGGTTAGGTAGATCATGACCTGCAACAGCTCCAACAGGTATCAACGAGTCAAAAGCCGACAAAATCTACATAACTGTCATTCCTACAAATATATGTTATGTTCTGCATTATTGGGTGTGGATCAAAACTGGGACCCCCAGAACCCTGTCCTTTGTAGTCTATTCTGTTCGTGGTCAAGCAAGGGGTATCCAGGACCCCGGTTTTAACTCCGAGCTGTTTGGGCTCCACAATCAGGTTGGGGAGGAGAAGTCTCAAAATCGATTCTTCATGCCCTCACCACATCCACTGCTGGCAGCTCAGCGTCTTGTCCTCATCCAAACCAAGAAAAATGGTTTTCCTCAATCGCACATCGAGCAGCGATCGCACAGCACATCGAGCAGCAAGCAGCAACGACACCGTTCGGCACGTCTTGCCTCATGGGTGGAGCAGTGCAACATATTGCAACAACTATTGCAACAGTCCACTGAGCCGAGCCTTTTACAGCTTCTGCTTAGGGGTCAATTTTTGGTAAGGCTTTCTCTGTTGAAGTCCTCAGGTTCGTTCCTCGCAGCCCTGGGAGCCACACATCCAAAGCATCAAAGCATCGATCATCAACATCGGACTCCGCCTGCATCACCATCGGACCCTACTGTTTTTTGTCAAATCAAGCGAAGCTCTCTCTCCAAGCGGCAGCTTCTCTTCGCTTACCTAATGGTGCAGGAAACAATAAAACAAGAACCAACGCAGCGAGGTCCATCCGAACTCAAACCTCTGAGCTGAAAGCGCTTGGTTCATGCGGAAAACATCCTGACACAGTGGTTTAGAATCAGGACGGGCTCCAGTCCGAAGAAAGAAAAAACACACGTTGTACATGTTGGCAAAACCATGAGCATCTATACGAAACAGAATGACACCAAACGTCACGTCTCAATGTAGTGTCCACGTGTCGTTAACCTCAGTAAGACCGTCACCAAGTCGCAGATGTAAAGCGGTGTGCCAATCCCGCCCCCGCGCGCGCGTTCGGACATGGCCAAGTGGCAGGCTTTTTGAGACCTTGCAGCTCTCCAACTTCCACTGCCAATGCTTTGAACTCCTCCCACTCGAGGCCATTGTTGTCCTGGCCGATTTTGGGCAAGCCTACTGCAATAATTTGGATTTAGGTCTCTTCAGTCCCTTGCTGAAACTCTCTTGGCTGTATTACAAAGCCATTTCACCAGAAGAACATGAACAACATTGCATGGCGCCAGTAGCTTCTGATGTCCTTCTTTCTGCCATGTGGAGGCACCACCAAACCACCAAGCCCAAGATCCGGGTGCTGACACCCTATGCCACCTCGTGCCACGCATAACCTCGTGCCAGCTCTCCGTCCTTGTCGTATTTCTTCCGAAGCTCTTTGAGCTTCTGCTCAGAGATCGGAGGCGCGTTGCCCATGGCGAATCTCTCGCGGCCGCGGCCGAGAGACAACGCGGCCCATGGGGGTCACCTAGTGACTCCAAGCATTCCGACGTTCTCGGATGTGGGGCAGCGGATTGAGCACCGAAAAAAACCCACGGCCATGGTATATCAGCTGGTTTTTGCGTAGCAATCAGATCTTCCAATGCTCTTAGATGCAATTAGCAGCTTCTGGCCTTTGTCTTTCGATGCCGCAAGTTCGCAACGGCACAAGTGTCCTTCAAGGGGGGCTTGTGTGCATAGGGCCTCTTTCTTGGCAAGCGTATGCATTCCCAAAGCATTTCCAGTGATCCCCAAAAGTATCAAAAGTGCAGAAAAGTGAGTGTTATTCAACAATGTTGGAAACTGTTTCAATCTTTCTATAGGGATCTGACTCAAGCAACGATGGAATAGCTGTTATTTACTAACGCGTGATGACACGTTGCATAGCAAAAGGGGCTGCTGCACAGCGGTTGGCAAAGACTCCAGTTAGGATCAAAGCACATGATGGCTGGCTTTGAGCCTCAAAGCTGCGAGCCCAGGAACCCTGGCAGAACTGACACCTTCTTGTGTTGATGGAGATGTATAACATACCAGTACTAATTATATCTAATTATGGCTAAATTGTCAAATTTGTAATGTATTTAATATATCATCACGAATGCAACCCCCCAAAATAGAGCAAGCATACAGAATGGTTAATGTAATGATACAAAAATCCACTGGATTCTGCACCAAAAATCTGGGCGTTCCAGATATGCCAACCTCAATGACCCCTCAAACCATCCCTTTCTTCAAAGGCTTTGAAGGTGCCCAGCCCACTTCGTAGGGCCCAGTGGGTCTCGACGGGTCGTTCGACGGGCGTGAAACGCCCACGGAACGCGACTCCGCGAGAATCGTCAAGTCTCGCGCCTTGCGATGCTCCTCCGCCAGGCGATTCGGACCTTGCAGGACCTGCCCCCCAAAGCCACCGGGGTTTGGACGGATTTGGCCTCAGGACCCTGCACACCAAAGAGATCCAAAGAGTGTTGAAGCTGGTTTTTGAAGCCTTGGCAAGGCCGTAGCAATTTTCGTGTCAACAGCTAGCAGGCAGCTAGCTAGCAATCACCAGTTCACCCAAATCAGCGTCCATCCTTTTTCCAAATGCCCAGTGAGAATGCGGCTACACACAGCTGACGCCGGCACCTGTGGTAGTTGAGGCTGATATTTCAAGCGCCACTTCTGAAGCGGTGAGAGCATCGAGTACTTCCTGGCGAAATCATCGACCGTTGTTGGACGAGAAAGGTGCAACATGAATTGCAGTTCATCCTGAAGCCTCCAGTTTTTCACGATTCTCTTCATCGTCTGCCCAAAAAGATCTCAACAAAAAGTTAGGATCTCGCATATTAAGACTATAGCTCAAAGAGGATCATTTGGATCTTTTGGAGTCCTGAGGATCTCAAAAACAATTGGAGTCATTTGGAGGTCTCTTTGCGCAATCTTCTGCCCTTCTCGACTGCACTGCGGCACCTGCGATAGAGCCGGATGTAGCCGGTCTCCACCTTAAACCTGGGCGCCTGTCCGAACCGCTGCTGTTCTCGCCCGGAGGGTTATGAGTTTCGGCTGGGTGTGGGGCTCCATATCTCGATGGATGACCAAAGCAACCAATTCCCTGTCCAAACAGTGCTCCGTTCGTAGCGATGCCCTTTGTTACTAGTAGCTTCCTGCTCCTAGTATAGTAATGCCAGGAGCTACTAGTAGCTTCTTGTTAAGTTGCTTGGGGACCGTCGTTCGTTGTTTCGGGGGAATTAGCGCAGAAGAAGTGTTTTTGACCCTTGCGGGCCTCTGAAGAATTGGTTGTTCGGAACTAAGAGAGGGTATAAAACACGTCTTGTTTTTTTTGCGTTGTTAGTGGCAACATACGAGACCCAAAGGACTATTTCATAGGTTTGTTTGTCTCGTGAGTGGTGAGTGAACGGCCATGGTAAAAGCTTTGTAGACGTTGTAAACCTTTGTAAATTTGTTTGTAATTCAACAACTCTGTCAACTCTTTGCAAAAGTTGCAAACTTTGTACAAATTCTTACGACTTTGTGAAAGTCTTGTAAACTTTGTATATCTTTGTAAAAATATAAAACTTTGTAAACGTTCCAAAAACTGTGTAAAACGTTGCTCTAACTTTGAAGAATAATTTGAAGAACTCCAAAACTTCGTAAAAGGTTTGTTCACCTTTTTACAAAGTTTGCGAATTCTACAAGGTCTTTTTCAAGTTTTACCAAGTTCTTACAAAGTTTTACAAGTTTAAAGGTTGACAAAGCTTACAAAGTTTGACAAAGTTTAAACATGTTTTACAAAGTCTACAAAGTGTTGACAAAGTTTACCAAGTTTATACCAAGTTCACTACTTTTTTACAAAGCTTTCAAAGTTGGTACAAAGTTTACAAAGTTTTACACAGATTTTATGAAGTTTGCAAAGTTTTACAACCGTTTACCAACTTTACAAAGTTTTACAAAGTTTACAATATTTTAACACAGTTTACAAAGTTTTGAACAATTTCCAGGGTTTACCCAGTCTACAAAGGTTTTACCATTAAAACATCAATTAAAGACGTATTGAACGTTTTACAATGTTGCTGCAATGTTGACAAAGTTTTTACAAAGTTTACACAGTTTTGCAAAGTATTGAAAGTTTACAAAGCTTGTACAAAGTTTAAAAAATCTTTACAAAGATTGCAAATTTTACAATTTTTACATGTAGTTTTTACAAAGTGTACCAACATTTGCAAACTTTACACAGTATTTACATAGTTTACAAAGCTTTCACAAAATTTGCAAAGTTTATACAGTTTACACCGTTTTTGCACAGTATTGAAAGTTTACAACGATTTTACAAAGCTTTGGAATTTGACAGAGTTCTTGCAAAGTTCGGAATTTACACAGTTTTTCAATTTTTACAGAGTCTACAAAGTCTCACAAAGTGTTTACAAAGTTTTCAATCCTTTTTACAAAGTTTACAAAGTTGTACAACGTTTTACAAAGTTTACAACCGCTTTTTCAAGTTTACAAAGTTTTACAAAGTTTTGACAAAGTTTACAAAGTTTTTACAAAGTTTACACAAGTTTTTCAAGTTTACAAAGTTTTTACACAGTTTACAAGGTTTTTACAAAGTTTTTACAAAGTTTACAAAAGTTTTACAAAGTTTACAAAGTTTTTACAAAGTTTACAAAGTTTTTACAAAGTTTACAAAGTTTTTACAAAGTTTACAAATGGCTGGTGAAAAACACTTATGTTTGCAACAAATTACATGAAAAACACTTCTTTTTAAGCAAAAAATCGTGCAAAAACACTTCTTTCACAGAACTTTGCAAAGTTTTACAAAGTTTTTACAAAGTTTACATAGTTTACACAGTTTTTACAAAGTTTTTACAAAGTTTACATAGTTTACACAGTTTTTACAAAGTTTACAAAGTTTTTACAAAGTTTACAACGTTCTGACAAAGTTTGCGACATTTGCCTTTTGTTACACAAATTTACAAAGTTTTTACAAAGTTTACAAAGTTTTGAAGACTTTGGAAAGTTTACAAAGATTTTGCCAAGTTTACGAAGTCTTGCAAAGTCTACAGAGTTTCGACAAAGTTTACAAAGTTTTGACAACGATTACAAAGTTTTGATAGTTTATTTATTAGCAAAATTTACAAAGTTTCTTTCTACATTTTACAAAGTTTTTACAAAGTTTGTACAGTTTCACAATTTGTACAAAGTTTTTAGGAAATTTACAAAGTGTTCAAAGTTTACAAAGTTTTCACAACGTTCACAAGGTCTTTCAAAATGTTTACAATGTTTTGACAATGTTTACGAAGTTTAAAACGTTTTACAAAGTTTGCAAAGTGTTACGAAGTCTATAATGTCTTTTTTTAAATAGAGTTTACGAAGGCCTACAACATCTAAAAGTTGTTTGCAAAGTTTACAAAACGTTAGTACAAAGTGTACAAAGTTTGCAATGTTTACAAACTTTTTGGCAAAGTTCACAAAGTTTTGACAAAGTTTACAAGTGTTTACAAAGTTTTGACAAAGTTTTCGCATTTTACAATTTTTTACACAAAGTTTTCGCAGTTTTTACATAGTTTTACAAAGTGTACAAAGTTTTTTCAAAGGTTTACGAAGTTTAACGTGTTTCAGTGAATAAATAGTTTACAATTTTAACAACAGTTTACGAAGCTTTGACAAAGTTTGCAAAGTTTGTTCAATCTTTACACAGTTGTTGCAGAGTTTTGAAAGTTCACAAAGGTTTTAGAATTTCACCAAAGCTTCTACAAAGCTTACGCAGCTTTTTACAAATTTACAAAGTATTTACAAAGTTTACAAAGTTCTTACAAAGTTTACAACGTTTTGCAAAGTTTTCAAAGAATAAAGTTTACAAAGTTTTGACACAGATTGAAAAAATCCGAAACTTTGTAGAAAGTTTGTAAGCATCAAAATCTTTTGTAAAAGAACGTTCAACTCAATAACTTGGTTGCAACTTTGTAAAATTCCAAAACTTGTTCAAAGCTTGATAAATGTCCAAAGCTTTGTTCAAATATCTAAAGGTTCAATACTTTGTAAAAACTTCGTAGTTCCAAAGTTTTGTAAAATTCAATGTACGGTAAGTTTCCAAAACTTTGTGAAGTTTGTTATTTCTATTTTTAAACTTTGTAGACTTTGTTAAAACTTTGTAATGCAAAAACTCGGTAAAAAAGTTGTAATTCCAAAACTTTGTCAATTTTTTGTAAAGATCCAAAACTGTGTAAACACTTTGTAGGAAGTTTGTTTGAAGACCTGCGAAAGCTGTTCAAGAAGAGCTGATCTTTGGATCAGTGAGACTCTTGCATTTTTTGTTTAAAAAAACGGCATTTGGTGCTTGCGCTTTGGGAATTTGTGACTGATGGCTGTAGTGTTTCAAGGTATTGAGGGTGAGAAGACAGGTCGAATGGTTATTGGTTGTGCAAGTGTTTTAAGACTTGGCCACGGAAACACCAAAACACTTCTTTCATTTTTTCCAAGTAACATTGGTGCAAAACACTTCTTGCGAGCAAAAACACTAAACTCAAGCAACTTAACATAGCTTCTTGTTGCTAGCGCAATTTTGTCAATAGCATGTTGACACCACTGGAAGACTGGTGTAGAATATCTAGGTCAAAAAGGTGCGGTGAAAATGCACGGATTAGTCAGGAAGGGTGTCTACGTCATATTCTACTGCGTGTGGTTTTGACTAAGCAGAATCAACCAAACCTAAAAGACTATAGCTCTTGGCTTGAGAATGTTGCAACGTCCCGTGGTATTCAAGCAGGGAACAGTGCAAAAGGCCGGACAGATTCGGGTTATAGAGGAGATATTGCTCAGTGGGTTCCAGTTGCAATGTTGCAACCAGGGATCGATTTGGGCAACTTGGGCCAACTTGCCATTTGCTGGGCCAGCAGTTCTCCAAACGGCTCTAGGCACTGCCCTAGGCCTCTTTTGAAGCCGCACCACCTGTGAACTTTACAAGTTTGACTCGGAGTCATGAAACCGACTCTCATTATGCCTTATCGTATGCCTATGTCGTCCCAGCAGCCACACAAAGAATTAAAGAACAATTAGGAAAGGAAACACTCATCCTCTGCCTAAAGTTGACAGCAGGACTGCTCCTATAGGGCCGGAGAATCTATTGCCCCCCCTGACATTGAATCGACTTCAATTTTGACGAAAAAGAAACATCCTCATCCTCGCACTTTTGCAATCCATCAGCATCCATCATCTACCAAAATGTTAACATCCGTCCACCTCCGTCGAGACTCCCGCCATCTCGCGCACATCTCGCGCGCGCCAACTGCAAGAAGGCTCGCCCCGCCTCCGAGGAGTTGGCATTGTCCTCGTCACACTCTGCGGTGAGCTCTGCCAGGAGAGCCTCATAGCCCTCGAAGATCACACGCAAGGTGTAGGAGCGCGAGGCCCTTGGGTAGTCAGTCGGGTGGAGAAGTGGATGGATTATCGAATGGGCTGGGAGGTTTCTGTATTTACCCGGCAATTGACGGAATCTAATTAGGATTTCTCTGTTCCACACAAAGCTGTCCAACAAAGGTACAGTAGTCAAATCTCTTAGCATTGAGGTGCTGTAGTCCTTAGAGCCTTAGAGGTGCTTCATACATGGATCATACATATATGGGAGGGAGAGGAAGAAGGGACAAAGTACTTCTGCATATTAATTGCAGCCAAGAGCGTCACTCGACATACTCTTCAAATTGCTTTTCAGTGCTAAATCATGCGGATGGATCCACTTGAAACAACTGATTGAACCCCCTCCCCTCATGCGGGAAAGTCCGGTCAATTCGTTCATCGATCCTTCTAGAAAAGGAATCCTGGAAGCCTTATGTCCCATGCTTCCAACAAAGCCCACTTTCGTCCCATGCTTCCAACCCAGCAGCTTCGACACAGCACCATCCTTCTGAAAAGTTGGCTACAGGGACTGAGCATCGCACGGAGGTTTGCTAGCAGGTTCACCCCAGTACCTGCAACCACAACTAGGCGGTTTTAGAGGCCGGGCAGCGAGCGGCTATGAAGAAGTGCGTTCCGTGTTGGTTCTGGAGACCCAGCCATAGCAATAGTGGGACTGCCAGCCACCACAGCCAGTGTCCGTCATCAAGTGCTTGGATTGATGGAAAACACATTTTGTCTCAGGTGGATCGTGCCAAATTGGATCAAGAACAATCGTGCCAAATTGGATCAAGAAAATCCATCAAAATCCTAATCCAATCTAATCCAACTCCAAAGCACTTCTGTAGATAGCATACCTTCATGAATGCACCAATGGTCTGATGGTCCCTTCCTCCATCCCCTGCGAACGCCTTGGGTCGTTACTTCGTCCCCGCGGCAGCGAACGCCGCACCGTCCTTCAGCCGTCCCTCCGAACGAGCCGAACGAGCCGACGGCTCACTGGAAGGGCCCGGGCTGCCGGTAGCTCTGTGCCCAGCGGCACTGATGCCGAATCTGGCGGCACGGGTGGTGGGACGCATCGGATTTGGGCCGGGCTAATAAGGGAGGGCTTTTGGGAGATGATTTTTGGGATATGATATCGCCTGATATCGCCCTAGATTGATGTTGAAGAGGAAGTCATCTACTGTTGGCACAGGGTTGCGGATCTTGTCACTTGCCATGAGAGCTGCCCGTGACCCTAAGGACCAAAATGGAAAGTGATCTGTCAGCATTGTCAGTCCATCCCTATGCTCCAGTCCGGGCATTCTTGCTCGGACGAGAGGACAGCCTTTCTTGGCATGCTGAACAGCCGAACAAATTTGGGGGAAACAAAGCAGGACCAAAACACATCTTCCAAACTGTGCCCACCCACCTATCTTCTTTGATCCAGTTTCGAACAGTTTAAAAAGCAATTGATCCAGTAGGACTGCACTCCATCTCCTTTGATCCAGTTCCACTTCAGGGCGCCTTGTCCCAAAGGCGAAAGGCTTCATCCTGGCTGTCTGACACTGAGCTTGCATGGCGGGGCCGTCCGACGGGGCGACCACATGCCGACGTGCTTGGGGCCAAACAAAGGAAACGCCTCCAACGTGCTGACGTGCCAAGAATCTTAATTCATCTCCATTTCATAGAAAATGCTCTCCCTAGGGCTCCGAGGACCTTCTCAGAAGGTATTTGGACCCTCTAAACCCACCCCAAACACCTTCTGAGAAGGTATTTGGAGCCCTAGGGTCTATGAAAGCCGAAAGCCTTCTATTGCTAGCGATGGCTTCCAAGCGAATAGCAATGGCCACGGCACCCATGACGGTGCACCTTTCCGTGCCTTCCGCACCGTCCGCACCTCCTCAGTGAGCTGCCGCCGGCGAGCACGAGGCTCGGGTGGGTCAGACTTGGCATCCCACCTGCAGCGGCTGCCAGGCAGCACGCGAGCCGCGACGAGGTCCGTCGATTCATGTCTTCTCATGAGAAGACATGAGTCACATGCAAAGTCACAACATCGTGAGTCGGACACTGTTTCGGACAACTCACTCCAAGTGTCACAGCACCCTTTCCAACAACAGATGTGATATTTTTGATGGCGAGGCAGCATATTGTTTTTGGTTCTCGAGGGCGAGCCTCCCACAAAGAACAAATACCAAACCCGCACACTGTATAGAAAGAAATAGGTTTTGCTGGAAACGAAGCAAAACCTTAACATCTTGGCGGTATATTTTTTCGGGTGGACAGCAGCGTTGGGTGGACTGTGCCATGTCAATTCTGCAGGCGCCTAGAAGTGGAAGCATCGCCTAGGAAGCACCTCTTCCAGCTCTCTCTAAACAAAGGCGGCCGAACTACTTGGGCACTGACTCTGTTGAGAGATTCCTGGTATGACACATGGGGTAGACATTATGGGTGTAGACATGGGTAGAACGTCTGTTCAACCCTGCAGCCCAATGTGGCACATGGCTCTCAATTCAATGACTTCAGAGCAATGAGCGCCCCAACGTCAGCAGCCGCACCAAGGGTACTGCGCAAGGAATCCAACTCGGCGGCAGTGGCCCCAGAGAGGCCCGGAAGTTTCGGCATGGGAACAAGGGGCCCCAAGCCCTTTGAGTGAAGTACAGTAATCCTCAGTGTGTCAAGAGTGTTAAATGCACAGGACTCAAGGCTCAAGGACTCTGTTCATCTAACAAGTCAGGAGAAGTCAAGGCATTGCCCGGTCCAGTATGGGGCAAACATGGGGCAAACAAATCATCAGTCTGTATACATGCTAGATCATGCTAGGCTGGGCTAGGCTCCTAAATCTCCGAGCCCAGCCCAGCACCTAGCCGCTATACTATAGTCTCCATCATCCACCCTGGCTTCGACGCTGGGGCTTCGTTTTCCTCCTGCCGTCCACGACTTCATCTGGACTCGTCGAGTTCACTTGGCGAATGCGACGGTCCGACCGGGCGGCTTCTCGAGACCACTGGTACAAACACGCCAGGCGGAGCCATGGGTCTGTCGAGAAGTCGGCTGAACAAGCATTGACCAACATCTTGCAACCACTTGGAATTCACAACATCGAACTGTGGTCTGCGAAAAAAAGGAACAATATTTCCCAATCACCTATATGCTGCACAGGCATTTGCTGCTGTGCATTGCATTTTGGTGCGAATGCATCGTAACCGGTGACGAGCATGCTGGGGCTAGTGCCAGCTGAATTTATGTTTTCTGCTGCCTCTCTCAGGTAAAAATCTCACATCTTTAACAATCCAAGAAAACAAACATGTCTCCTGCAAATGACTGGGCACCGTCTCTCTGTGCTTGAGGGTGAGTGTGGAAGTCTCATGTTATCCTCTTCGAACCACTGGTCTCTTAGGTCTTCAGGGTGAGCTCCAAGTGCCAATCATCTTTTAGGTACATTATAAATAGTTTCAACATCAACTTGCATTGAACATCATTGAACCATATTCCTCTTGTTGTTATTCTTCTTCTTCTTCTGATCTTGATGCTGTTGTTGCTGTTGCTGTATCTCTCTCTCTCTCTCTCTGTCTTTCGCGCCCAGGGTGATTCACTGAGCATCATACGCCGATGCCTTTTCGAACGCAACGCACTATCAGCGAGGAAGGCCGACTGGAGGTGGTCCGCAGAGCGAACATGTCCTGAACATCTCGATTTCGATCGGGTGACCTACTTTAGATAGTTGGATGGGATCATATATTAGCCCATTACCAACTACATCCAACTACGAGTATCTGTGGATGATGATTGGCTGTTCTCGAAGATGTAGATGAAACAAATCTTTACTTCAGATGTTCATATTCTTTGGAGCTGGAACCCCGAAAGAACATGTAAAACCATTCAGTAGCCACATTGCATGTACAATTGCACGCAAAAGGCAGCAAAGCCGAACCAAATGTGCCCTTGGCCGCGGTTCGGTGAATGGGGTATCTCTCTCTGAGGGAGTCTTAGGAACGGATGCGCTCCAAACTAAACCAGCTCACTGACACAAGTATGAAGCTCTTCAGAGGTTTACCTGGAAGAACGAGAAGGGACACATATATGGACGCACACAAATATATATATATAACAGTACATAATCCATATATGTATAATATATATATATATTTATATTATGTACATATGAATGTCAACGCCAACTAAGCAGCCCCGGCCTCACTTCTCCACAGCTTTCTCACCCCCAGGAAGCCGGTTTCGACTCTTGTGGATGGCGACCATAACCTGCAACGAGTGGTTTGAAGTCTGTCTGAACGGGTTCCCGGGCGGTTCCCAGCAGTCCGAGCATGGGCCTTTAAACCCTATAGTACTCGGGCCTAAATGGCTGCATATCCTTGAAGATCCTTTCTGCAGATCTCTTCCATGCCAAAACTTGGACAACGGCTAACTACAGTGGATCAGTATAGGTTAGATTCAACCACCATGTCTATCTTGTCCCACGACATCGTTCACGCCCTAAAACGCCTCCAAGTCATGCAGTGAGAGGAGGTGCTTCCCCCGGAAGTACTGCCGCAACCGCGCCGAGCTGAAGAAAAGGATGATCAATGCGAAGCCGATCCTAAGTGGCTGTGGCGCTCGTGGACGTGTATCTTGAGTTTAAACAAAGTTCCAAAGTTGGCTCCTCTTTGGATAGCGAAGCAATTGAATGCAAGATGGCCAGCGGATGCTAGCGGGAAAGGAAGTGGAGCAAGAGAGAGAAGCAAGTCAGCAAGCAACAAAGACACCCATGTCTGGGCTTGCAAAATTAAAAAAACATTCTGGGCTGACAAAGCCCATTCTGGGCTGACGGTTCCTCCCAGGATTTGTCGGCCTCTCTACCGATCGAGTCGAAGTCCTTTCTCGGTGACGAGGATCAAAATGATGCCGATGGGCGTCACCGAGCTGTGTCCCTCGCTCAAGTCGGGCCAGCCTGGTGTGGACACCGATCGACCGACAGGAGACCGTCGACGCTGTCGACACCGACCGCGTCTCAGCCAGACCCGTCAAACGGTGTCTCTCACGAGCAGGCCACAGCTCTGAGGAACTGAATGCGCTGTCATGCGCTGTTATTGTCATTGCTGTCAGTGTGTGACAAATTCAGATCTAGAGCGGGAACATGTAGAATTATGAATGTGATGTCATGAGGTCAAACAAAGGGCTTGTTGGTGATTTGAAAGCTACGGCTAAGTTGGCGAGGTGACATCATGCAACACCGAATGAAGAAGTTGGATACAAACTCAACTCGTCAAGGGAACTACCGCATAGCATGCTTCATTATATATAGAGATCTCGAGACATACGTAACTTGGAGGGTCGAGGTCCAGGAAAAAAATATCACGAACTGCGGCAAATGCTTCCAAAGTTGCCTTCGGTTGGGTTCAGGTTGGCTTTTTCTGCACACACACAGGAAAGCGAAGCAAGCTTCTGTGATCTCCGAAAACTTGCTTCAGAATTCTTCCAACCCATCCGGCCCCAGTCACCTTCAATGGTAAGCCAAACGCCAGGCGCTGCCAAACAGATTGAAATCACAATATTGATCACCGGCTTCCATTTCAACTTGCCCAAGTCTCCTGCACTGGTTTCACATGGTTGCATGCTTCGGAAGTATGTCAGCTGCGTCCTTTCCTGCCAACGAGTTTAGCACGTTCCGAACGCCAACACACCGCGCCGGACAGGCAACACATGTCCACCTGCAAAACTCCTCACAGGGATTTCGATTTCGATCTTTGCATTGAGATAGGCGTTTCCACACTCTTTCTTGCACCACTCCCACATGCCGTCTCCCGGTCTTCCCGTCTACCTGTAGGTCTACCGGTCCTGACTGAAAGGCCCAGTTGATCTCAGACGCAAAGAAGTGATCCAAAAGAATGGCCTGTTCTCCTTGGCGATGAGCCATCAAGCGATGAAGAAGCTAGGCTACTCAAGGATTTGGGAGAGGATGGGAGTGTTTCTTCAAATGATATCATGTGTGGGCACATAGATATATATGGAGGACACTAGGTCACATAGGTAAACAAAGACACTTGAATGGAAATGCCAATCATGACGTTTTCAAGTTGGGCTCAAGGCTATAGTCTTGCTCACACAGCTTGAAGGGCAAATGAACGGACCAAGACAAGCTGAACTGGTGATTCAATGGATGTGAGATCGAAGATTTGAGGCAGCTGGACTATGTCAGCCAAGTCTTACATTTTGAAAGGGGATGTCATGCCCGCACAGTGGAGCAACAAACACATCGACGCTATCTATATCAATATATAGATATGAATGGCAAGAAGTTTGAATATACCAAAGAAAGCACATGACTAACATGGACTCGACTCGGGGTTGGTTGCTCCTACGAGACGTCTCTCATGGACTCGACACCCGGCTTTTGGAAAACCGGTGACACCTGAGAGGGATCCACTGGGCTGGGTCACGCCCCGAATCGGCCGAAGAGTGGGTTGCACCATGCCACACCCAAAGCAGACTCGGGTTTTCA